CGTTACTATACCATCTTGTTATTGATATTCGTGCAATGGCATAAATACGCATAAGGTGCATAAAAAAACATAAAATACCCCGTCTGTAGAGTTTATGAGTACCGCAGAAACTGAGATGGCAGGGCCGTGCACCGGAGCGGTAGAGAATGCCCGGATTATAGAATCCCCATTCCGGTGCACGGCCCTTGGGCATCTCTCACGTAAATTTATAAACCAAGTCCTTACACTTCCTTACAATTCCTTACAAAAACATAGTCTCTCCTTAACCTCGAACTACCTATAATATCCTCAATTTATAATAAACAACATCTTACAATTCTTTATTTACATTTCTTACTTCGCAGCATTTGATTTCATCTTCATAATAGCAATTGGTTTTGCAGCCTTGTTTAATTGTTGATAACGATTCTCGATTTACGATTTGCGATTCTCGATTCTCGATTCTCGAAACTTCGAATATTCTTTCATATAAAGACTCACATTACAATTCTTTCTCGAGGAAAAGGAAGAGAGGAAGATACGGAGATAGGAAGATAGGAAAGGATATATGCCATTGCTGGTACAAGAAGATTGGGATACTGTGTCGATGGATTTTCATACGAGTCCGAATGTCAATTTGAAGAGACGAAGGGATGCTACGAGTGGGATAGATCGGGAGGAGCTGTTGGAGGAGGTGCAGATGAAGATGAACAGGTGTGTGTTGAAACAGAGAGCGGTAATTGAGTCATATATAGAGAAGATTGCTAACCTTTGAGAGTAGTCCTAGACATGCACACATCCACCCCAGTTCGCATTCCCATAATTCCTACACACACACCACGCATCATGATTTCGAACGTCGTCATCTGGTTCCTCGATCGAAAATGAGCTCGAATAAACGAGTTCGTGTTGGATATTCAGCAGTGGATGGCGAATTCCGAAGTGAACAGGCGAAGGAGAAAGAGAAAGAGAAAGGTGCAGGAGGAATGGATCTAAGAGCATGTCATATCTGTCGACGCAAACCAACTGTGAAGAAGGAACTCGATGCCTTTGCTAATTGTGAGGGCTGTGGGAAGAGGACTTGTTGGGTTTGTATTAGAGAGTGTCTAGGTGGATGGGGGAATAAAATGGGAATGAGGGGAGAGGTTGAGGTGAATGGAAATGGGAATGGGAATGAGAATAAGAGAATTGGGGAGGAGGGGAAGGAGAATTGGGAAGAAAACGGATTGCGGCATAGGGGAATGGTTTGTAGTGGATGTTGTGTGGAGAGAGGTTCGGAGGGAGAGGTTCTATGTACGGGCTGCACGAGAATGGAGGCGTGTTAAGATTTTAATGGGACGAGAGACTTTATAATGGGATTTGGAATGGTCCGAAGAGGACTAAGGCGTACCATGCATGGCATTGATAGAAGCTTGAGGATAAGCACTCGGTCGGTCAAATGTTTCAAGGAATACCAGGTTATCAAGAGGAAAAAGGCATGAATCCAATGGGAATGATTCGACGATAAGACTACTGCGAGCGAGGAGCAATGCGGTCGATACCCATTTTTTGATCTGGAGTCTTTTGGCTGGTAGTCTTGCAATGGTTATGCAATGCTTATATTATAATATAGTTTATTCAATTTCTTCCTATTCTCTATTGCATTCTTCATGGTATGGTATACATACATATATATATATATACATATATTATAAACCATGTACTCGAGTATTATATTATGTTATGTTGTCTTCTTATATTACATGAGTGGTGTTTTGTGATGCTTTTTCGTGATGTTCTGGATATGGAGATTAAAGGAAAATTCGGGGCTTCTGGGTAGATACAGGTACTCTCGAGTATTTGTATGTACTCGAATGTTGGAGTTAGGTGAGGGGGAGGTTTGAGTGGGAGTTTTGAGTTGGAGTTTTAGGTAGGTGGGTTGTTTGTTTGTTTTGGTGGGATTGAATGGTATTGGATGGGGGTTGGATTGCTGGGTTGATGGATGGATGGATGGATGGATGGATGGATGGATGGATGGATGGATGGATGGGAAAGTATGGTTTGTTGGTTTTGATTTAGTGGTGAGGATGTTATGGTATGATAGGGTATGATGGTGGTGGACTGGAGAGGACTCGTTGTTGTTATGTAGTAAGTAGTTGAGTAGTTTGGAGAAGAAAGAAGAAAAAAAGATGAAGAAGAACTCTTGGGAATATGATATGACGGGTGGGTGGGTAGATGTTGTGTTGTATTGTATTGTATGGTGTTATGTAGTGGAAATGTGAGTATGGTATGGTGGTGGTGGTGGTGGAGCTGGCGCAGTTGAAAATACACTGCAATACAAAACGATATAACACAATACGATACGAGATACGAGATCTGAATGGTAATAAGATGAGGTGAGATGAGATGAGATGAGATGAGATGAGATGAGATGAAAGGGTGGAGATGGGATGTAGGTGCTGAGTATGGATGGTATAGTATAGTATAGTATGCCAGGGCATGGTAGAGTAGAGTAGAGCATAGGATAGGGCATAGGATAGGATAGGATAGGATAGGAATTTTAGGATAGCGAATGACAAATTAGGGGTAAAGACAAGGCAAAGATACTCGAAAGTATGTTATAGTACAAGTAACACAGAGAGGGAGAGAGAGAGAGAGAAAGAAAGTCGCGCTCCCATCAACGTACTTTTAAAATCAAGCTATCCTGCTACAGATAGTATAAAGAGATAGAGAGTTCAGTAGGTAAGTAAGTAAGTAAGTAAATAAGGTCAAGAACACACAATCTTACATTTCGGGTTTCAAAGCACGCTAGGTAAGAGACAAAAGACGGGGGAAACATAAGTCAAGTAGGTATCATATCATATCATATGATATTGTACGTATGTATGTATAATGTACGACTATAAATAGGTAGTGCAATACAATAAGAGTTGATGCTACATAAACTGGAACCTGACCTGACCTGATATGCAGTTTTGGCTGGTTATGTTGCAAAGAAAGATATTTTATAGAAAGGAGAAGGAGAAGGAGAAGGAGAAGGAGAAGTAAATTGAAAATACATCTACCGTGTGATATTCCTTCTCTCCGCAGTTGGATGAAATCGAATGTGAATGAGAATGTCGCATTACTACTAATACAACAACTACTACTACTACTGTCACACCCCTCACCCACACTCTCCATATATAAATCAAGTTACGACCAAAACCCTCAGCCCGGTTGTGCCTTGGCGCAGCGGTAGAGGCTAACGATCGCACATGTTGCTTTTCACGTAGGCTCAATAACGATCCCAGATAGCGAGAGACCTTTCGCGGATCGGAGGCAGCCGGTTTGTTTTTGGTTTCCCCCTACTCTAGAGGGGGTGGTTCTATGGGAACTCTTTTTGAGTTTTGGGAAGATGAATTTTGGGGATTGAGGCGATTCAAGATATGGTCAAGTTTAAGCGGGGAATCAAGGCTGAGAGGTGATGTTGATTGGAGCGAAGCGGATGAATAATGAGGTGAATTGGGTGCAAGTGGATGGGGCACACTAGATAGAGCGGCGAATGATATTTGTTAATCAAGCTTTCTCTTTGATAATTAGAAGTCATTTGGTAAAAACAGGTTCTCTAGCTAGTTACTGATATTTTCTTCTTCTTTTGGCCAACACCAAAAGTCGCAAATGCTGGTATATCTTTTGAAGGAATAGAAAAACGTTGGGACAACTCGCCCTTGCCATACCCATACCCGAAAGCTGCCGGCAAGAAAAGAGCGACAATGCACAAAGCTTCTCACCAATGATCGATTGTCCACGACGGGAATATACAGACAGAAGCCATCCACTCGGTTCATTCTCAGAAGAATTAAAAAACGTAGATTATTCGAGATAGTAACTAGTCCGACTAGCTTCGAATTAGGGGAAGCTAGCGACAGGTTTATTATACACATCGGCATAAAACTGCGTTTTTTAGCTAGGGGAAACCACTAGTCATGCCAAGTGCGGATTTAGATCGGGCGATCTTGATTATTCCTGGTGTCTGATGCAAGACGAATCTCAATATTGAGAATACATATAACTGGCAAGTTTGTTAGCTATATAACATTCAACAGAAAGAATATCTACCCTTGAGGTACGTGGGTTCATTGATTTCGCAAGAGCACGAACAACAGGTTCACATAGTCGTCCATGTAACCATCGAATACTTCTGAGCTGTGAAGGCTTTAGTATTTTGACTTTCTTAAATTCTTATTCTTAACGGGCACATGAAGATGAGTTCCATTAACGAGTTTCATTAATTCAACCGAAGTTCCCTTGCAGTACGATAATTTAAAACAAGACTCTCAAAGTTACAACTCCACTTGGATAGTTGTTCCTGGTCTTCAATCTTAATTTCCATTTTCATGCAGCAAGAGAAGAGATAGAATGCGGGATAGGCTACTAAAACTTCTTAGTGTCTTTCTTTTGGATCCGGCTTTTTTTAAAAACCTCCAGACAAGGCAGAATATCGCCATCACCGGTATACTAGATACTATTCTAGTGAGATGACTAGACCTCGAAGCTATCGCAAGTAACTAACAAACTTGTAAGGAACAGGGCTCGAGATTTGGGTTGTAGATATGCAACAAATGTTGGAGCAATCGCCGGCCTGCGATCATCGCCTCATCATGTCCTGAACCTCAAGATAATCAAAGTTAGTGATATATTTACCGCATGTCTATTGCTAGGGTTTAGCTCTTTAATGCCCTTGCTTTTCACAAACAGATCTTCTCTGGTGTTGAGAGGAAACAGTGATTCTTCATATGAGCTAATTCACACGTTGGGTGACATGTTCCGATGTTATGAGCTCCAACGTCAAATTTACTCACTCAGGGGCTTCATCTTTGTCTTGTGGTCACAATCTGTCATCTACCGGTGAAGCAATGAAGTGAAATTCAGATATATTAGTCATCAAGAATTTCCCCACACTTTACTAGTTTAGACCCAGCCAAACTACCGACGCGCCCGCTCCCAATCATATGCATTACCAGCTTCCATTTGATACCGCTTATCCTCCTCGCAAACTGGCAATCCTCCAAAGCACACACCATCACCCATGAAAGTAAAAAATAATGGCTCCACCTCTACCGAAAGACGTCGTCCGCGCCATTGAAGTCGCCATCGAATGTGCCTGGGAAGCCTCTAAAACCATCGACCTAAAATCCATTGCCCACATTTTCAACACTACCCCCACAACCGTGATTCGAATCCGCAAACGACTCGAGAAGATCCGCGACACGGGCGTTGACGAACGAGGAAAGAAACAAGGGCCCAAATTTCGATATGGGGAAAAGGAAGATGAGATTAAGGAGTGGTTGACGAAACTCTGTGAGGATCATCCGGAGATGAAACAGGCGGGGATAACGAGGTTGATGGAGGAGAAATGGGGGATTAAATATGGGCAGAGTACGGTTTGTAGGTTGATTCGAATTTGGAAGATTCCGCATAGGGTTAGTAATAGAATGTACGGGAATTCGAAGCTGTATGTTGAGAGGGAGAGTGTGGGGAGGGTGGATATGGAGGGGAGAGGAAGGGGGGAATTGGTGGACCGGTTGGGGATTGGGGCGGTTAGGCAGAGGGCCTTGGGTGAGGGGGATGATGAACAAGCAGTGGAAGATGGAAACATGAGTGTGGATTCAGAAGAAAGGTCGGAAGAGCCCGAGAGGTTACAAGGATTGCAATCTTTAGGCATGGCTGCGATGCAGGAACAGGAGAGAGAAAGTATGAGTATGAGTATGAGTATGGCTAATGGCAATGGAAATGGAAATGGAAATCCAAACGCGGTTCCGGTGCCAAGCCAGTATGAATTGGCGCCGTTATTGGAACACAATAGGATGGTGGAGAGGCTCAACCAGTCACTCGTTGCTATTAACCAAGCTATCGAACCTTCGCCGCAAATCCAACATCAACATCAACATCGCTACCATACATCATATCAAACGAGTCAACCCAATTGGCAGTATCAGATGAATTGATAAGAACAAAGACATCAAGAAGAATTGCACTGATCTGCAAAATATCTTGACTCAATGACATCATGGTCTATCGGAAACGGTCGCTGTTGCTGGATTTCGGTATCGCTAGTGCATAAGGAGTGATTCTTTTGCGAAAATGTCAGTACTAAGTCTCATTTTTTAATCAAATTGAAGATGATCGTCAGGGGGATAAGTTGCCGTAGAGAATAATTGAGTCAGGGGCCGCTGATGTATTACCACGCTTAGAATGTCATGATGAAAATGTGCAGATGAAGTGAGCCGCAATTATGAGATCGACGGTACAAGTGGAAGGGTTTTTTGTCATATTATACAAAAGAGAGTTGAAAAATAGGCCGTCTTGATTGCTCAGGCCGGATATATCTAAATATTGCTCAAAGTTTGCTCAAATCCCATCTACCTTGGACTCCCATTTCTATTAGTTTTTCGTGAGTGCCGTGTAATGATAACCAGTCAATCCATGACGTATACACCCAGCTTTTCTCTCTTTGTATTCCTGCAACCCCATAACCATGTGTATTCTAGAAGACCGCGTTTAGATTCGTCGCGCCGCGTCGGGTTCGGTTGTCGAAAACGACGTTGTATCTGATAGTTACTGAATTAGGACGATGGGAGGGTAACCCTGCCGCATCTCGACCAATTGTGAAATCGTAGATTCGGAATAGACCCATTATTATTTTCAGAGTCCGCCGCATATGGGCAAAGGACCGGCGTCGTTTAATTCCATCTTATCATAATGCTTTGTCGTAGCCAGCAACTATCTTCACTGGTGTTGGAAATTCCTTTCCACTATTCGTGCCCTTCGTCCCTCAATGCACCATAACAACCGGTTGCCCTTTTTCCCACGCATGCAAAGTATCCCTAACATTGACCCAATACCTCAGTCTAACCGTCTCCCTCCTCGCCGTCTCTATATCCCCAGCCTCTAAAGCCTCCCCCACCACGCCCTCACACTTTGCAATCCTCTCCTCGTTTCTAGTCTTCAACCCAACCAAATCCCCTTCTTCCTCCGCCTCCTCAATCTCCTCCCTAGTCTCCAGAACCTCCATCAATAATTCTTTGTCCCCTTCTTCTCCTCCTGTTTTCCCCGTTTCGTCATGTACATCTACACCCTGTAGTTCCAACAAATATTGCGCGCGTAGGAGAGGCGATTGTAATGTTTTGTATGCTTCGTTGATGAGAGCACTGGTGGCTTCGGCGCGGTTTTTGTTAGATGAAGAGTGTACATCTGGATGTGCAGTCGCTTGAAGGCGGAGAAATTCGTTGCGCAGCGCGCGAACGTCAATGTGGAAGGGGCCAGAAGGTGGAGGGCCGCGAGGGAGAGTGACGGGGAAGAGGTCGTAGTGGGTTTTAGGAGGTGAGGTAGCAGAAGCGGCTACTTGGTCTGGCGAGGTAGATAATGAGGGACCCGCAGATGATGATACATTTCTACGGGAAGAGGTGACAGGATATTGGCAAAGAGGTGTCGTTTGCTGATGGCAGATTTGGCAAACGAGAGCTGAGTGGCGGGCGATGGCGGGTCGTGTGGAAATCGTTTTGCAAGAGCGCACAAGGCTTCGTGGTAATAGTGATGATCGCATGTTGATTTTGTAGAGTTTATGCGGAGATATGATTTATTCTTATGTTTGTGAAAACATTAAAGTGAATTGATGATTTCCGTTTATTTTGCCTTAGTGATGACGTAATGTATCTAGCGCTCGCCTAACTTTCCTTCTCCTATGAAGTGGCGGATAGCCTCCTCTTTCAATATAATTTAAATTTGCAAACTCAACAAACCTCTTACTAAAGACTTCGTTTCAAAGACTTCGTCTCATTGAGAACCAAAGAGGATGTACAAGTAATATCACCAGTACTTACACAAGAATCAAAGTGGTATGGAATGTAGCATTCCTTGTGATGCCCAGCTATACTTGACATCAATCAATTAACTCCCCGCTGTAGTTCAGTGACAATATTAGCTCTAAAGCCATATAACGTACTCACTTTTATTCATGAGGGCATCTGCCATCTACTCCTTTTCACCAACTTCGTTCAGTGCATCAGACCATTGCGATATATGAAGCCAATCACCCTACCCTTCCCAACCACGCTAAATTCAATGTCACTTTGAAAAGAAACCTTGGAAGACATGATTTTTGAGGGTCTGATAGAAACATCCTTGTCATGTGAACAAATAGAAGTAAGTTAAAGGGTCTAACGGTTGGTGAGGAGGGGCAATTTGTCCCACAACATGAAGTATTCTACAAACAAACCGTTGATGGAGCGGGGAAGTCTCACGGCTCGAAGAATTCTAGCCATGTCTCAATGGAAGATAAATAGTATCCACGTCAAATATTCCGACCACCATGATAAGACCTACCTTATATATTTACCAAAATATTCACAAGCCCGTCATGCTTTCTAATCCAATTTGCCATTGCTCCGTTTCGACCAACACATGCTCACCATGGGTTCCATATCATCATTCACCATCAAAGATGAGCCAATTGAGAATCTACGGCCATTGAAAGTATGAGTCATTGGAGCTGGATTCTCGGGCATATACTTGGGTATTCGGATACCACAAAAGATGTGAAATATAGACCTACAAATATATGACAAAATTGAGGGGATAGGTGGGACTTGGTATGAAAACAGATAGTCAGCCACTCCATTCTCTAGAAGTCTTTGGGAATGCGCTGACAATGTCCAAGTCCTGGTTGCGCTTGCGATATACCCTCACATTCTTATCAATATTCGTTTGATCCGAACCCAGATTGGTCATCTTTATACGCACCTGCGGCTGAAATTTGTGCATATCTTCAAGGAATCGCGAAGACGTACGGAGTCACAAGATATATTAAGCTAGCACACCAAATCAAGAGTTGCAAGTGGGACGAAAAATTGAAGAAGTGGTGATTATATTCACCCTTTAGTATACATATCCGTATTTTGACTATATCCAGGAAGCTCGGCATCGAGAATATCAGCACAGGTGAAACATTCGAAGATGATGCAGATGTCTTGATTTCTGCTCGTGGTAGCTTGAACAACATAACGTGGCCAGATATACCAGGGCTAAATGCTTTCCAAGGGGAAGTCATGCATTCCGCAAAATGGAATCAGAAGTAGATGATCCCCACAACTTCAGTCTGATTTGAAAACTAACACTGCTAGTTATGACTTCCAGAACAAGATAGTGGGGGGGTGATTGGTAATGGGTCAAGTTAGATACAGATTGTTCCCAGTCTACAAAAACTCAAAAGAATTCGTATGTCTTGCTTTGTGAGGAGTAAAACGTGGATTACAAATCCATTTGGTGATGGTTCGTTTCGCAGTATTTCTGACACTAAAGCTCAAACTTACTGTCTCTTTAGCTGCCATGGAATCAATGGGATTTGATGCAAATCAGCCTGAATGTAAGTTGTGAAACTTGTCTCGCTATGTATTTCATGCTTACCTTCGGAAAACTGACTTCCGAACTTCACAGTCTCTCCTGAACAACGCAAAGAATTTGCCAACAATCCCCAAGCCCTTCAGTCATTCCGCAGAATCATTGAAGTTGCAGGTAATACAATCCATTGGGCTTCATTCCGTGATTCGGAAGTTCAAAAATACGCCCTTCTAGTTATTCGAGCAACGATGAAAGACCGCCTAGCCAAGAAGCCTGATATTTTAGAAGCACTTGTTCCTTCTTTCGCAGTTGGCTGTCGTCGTCTAACACCCGGGCCTGGATATCTCGAAGCTCTCACCGCTCCGAATGTTGATATTATCTCCGAGGAAATCGACTCCATCACCTCCAACTACGTTAGACTCGAAAGCGGAAAAGAGATCCATCTTGATGTACTTGTTTGCGCTACAGGCTTTCATACCACTAATATTCCTCGATTCTCCATCATTGGTAAGCATGGACAATCTCTTGAAAAAAGATTTACTCCATATTCAGAGACTTATCTTTCTATCACCGTCAATAATTTCCCCAACCTGTTAATGATGCTAGGCCCCAATTCCAATATCGGATCCGGAAGCCTCACGAGAATCCTAGAAAGCGAAGGTGATTACATCGTAAAATGTATTCGGAAACTCCAGAAAGAAGACTCTGCATCCATGGTGCCCAAGAAACAGCGAGTCAACGATTTCTCCGAATATTGCAAGGCGTATTTTGAAAAGACGATCTATCTGGATGAATGCAGAAGTTGGTATAAAGACCCCGAATTAAACAGAATCACGGGTCTATGGCCAGGCAGTACATTGCACGCTCTAGAAGCATTTAGATCCCCTCGATGGGAAGATTTCGAGTATGAGCCAAGGAAGGGAAGTGGAGGGGAGTGCAATGCACTGAATCGGTTGGGAAATGGCTGGAGCGTTACGCAATTGGGAGCGGGTGATCAAGCTTGGTAATTAGAGGAGCATTTCGTGGATGTACCAGTGAAATATAGACCGGAGGAGGATATCGAGGCAAGTTTGAGACCTTGGAACTATTGAGAGAGATCTGAATTGAATTGAATTTTGGGGCACAAGTGGGTGGGTGCATGGATTTATGGAATTCTCCTCTAACTTCTAACTTCTAACTTCTAACTTCCAACGTCCAAAAATTAGAGTTATTCCCGTTCAATTTTAGTTCAATTTTAAAGCTATCATTGTAATCTTGCATAACATGGAATCATTCCATCAAGTTTCCCCAGTACTCGTACACACAAAGCCAATTCCAATCATCTCATCATTCATACACCACTTCCCCAATATTCTACGAGAGTATCAATCAATCCATACACCTCGCTCAGCCAGCCACCCACCCATGAATGAAATTCCCACATTACCACCTCTCTAAACTCAGCCTCGACTCGAACTCGACTTCCTCCATACCTTCTTTCCAAATCAAATAAATACCAATTCCAGTACTATAAATTAAACTCATACTCATACTCTCGTACTTTGATACTACATCTATCTACTCTATCTATACCCACCCGTATCACAGTAAATCTCACAAACTAATAATAAATCACAGAACCTCGAGCTTAACTAGCTTTATATAGACTCGTATACTCGAGTACAACTTCAATATCACGCACGGGATGTACCTAGTATGTATCAATCAACAAGATTTGCAACTGTAAAAACTTCTCATATATCTCCTCTATCCTCATCCTCATCCTCTTATCTCCTTTCATCTCCCCTCTCCCCCCCACCCGTACCCCTTAAAACAATAATCAAACCTAAAAACTGAATTAAGTTGGTATATCCTATCCTACAAACTCCCCAAAAAACGTAATGAAGAAAAATAGAAGAAAAGATTTAAAAACGCCATTCTTTTCCTATCCAGTGGGTCATATCATACAGCACTCCAAACATGTTAATTACCACTTAATCTTCCCTTCTATGCCTCCGAATCTTTGAATGAAGTAATGGAAATGATAGAGAACGCCAAACACCTTCCATTCAACCAACTGACCGATTCCCTTTGCTGGCATTATTTATCGTCATCCGTTCCAATTCGTAATTCCAACGTCTTCATCTACAATCATGTTCCACCCCTCTGCTCTGCTTTTCTCAAACTTGCGAAATAGCCCTTGGGCCACAAGTTCAAAAGTTCTCCTTCATTAGGCACTCTCCCCAGAGTCTCGCACTTTTGTATCACATTTTGCAATATTCTGCCTAACAACTCTTCAGTCATCGGAAAGTGCTTCTCCAGATCAATCTCCAGGGGATTTAAAAATGTATCATCATCCCCCAACAAGTCATCCGCCGATGGCCTCTTATGCTGATCTCTGTTCAAACAGTTCTTCAATGTTCGAACGAGGGAGGTGGGGACCAGAACATTGCCTACACCATGTGTTGGATATTCGATGTCGTACCTGAAGTTTATGATAGCTGAACAGCGCTGCAGTTGGTTTTGGATGTGAGCGAATGGAGCACGACCGTAGGTCATTTGATAAAGTATACAGCCCAAACTCCAAATATCGGATGGTTTTCCAAGTTTCATGAGTTTTGGTTCATTGCGGTTTTTTCCATCAGAGGCATTGGAATCCATGAGGGATTCAGGGGACATGTAGTTTGGAGTACCGATTTGTGTTTCGCGGTGAACGTTGACGGTTTCTTCGGTTTGGATTGCGTTGGCGATACCGAAATCTATGAGCTTAAGACGACCTTGGACGAGGACGAAGTTGTGAGGTTTGAGATCGGAGTGAACTATGTCATAAGCGTGAACAGCTTGAAGACATTCGAGCATTTCTTTCCAGTAGTAGCGCACGAAATTTACATCCAACTTCGCGTGTTCGGATTTCATACGAAGATTTAAGATAGTGTTCATATCCAACTCTCCCATCTCCATAAGCTGTGTAAAAGTTAGTCACACACGTTGTAGACGGATAGAAAGCATATAACCTACCACACTAAGTATACCTCTCTCATCATTCAGCTCGTAGTCATATAAGTGAATCACTCTTTCTACCGAGCCCAGCTTCTTCAGTAAATCAATTTCACCCTTGAAACCACGTATGGCTGATTCATCTGCATCTTCCAAGGCAACCCGTTTCAATGCAAATATTTTCGAGTTCTCTGCCATTACTCGGTACACTTTCGAGCTACCTCCACGTCCAATTACATCCAAGCGAGTGAATATCTTCCCATTTACCTTGAGCCTATTTCTCCTATTATTGGCGTTTGATGTAGTAGCGGCACCAGCAGTACTAGTCGCTGCTTCTAATACGGACATCTTGGGTGGTGGTGGGGCGTGTCTTCGAGGAGTATTTTGACTTCGGACAGCCAGAGGGCGTCTCTCCGGAGACCCAGTGGCACGTATAGAATTCATGTCGAAGCTTTCTGGTCGGATTGGTTTTTCTGCGCTATTCATATGTATCAAAGGCTGTTTGTTCCGCTTGAAAGTTGGAGGTGCCTCATTCTCTTGATCATGAGTCGCAGGGAGACCCGGGCGTGGAGCTGGTATCTTGAACGCAGGTTGTTGCTTCGAGGCGGCAGGAATTGAACGAGGGTCAGATATTTGAGAGCTAGATAAAGTGGGTGGTGGCGGAGACCTTGAGCGTAGGACCGAATTAAGAAGGTCCTTCGAGCTAGGAGGACTGCCTGAAGCAGAATAATCTCTATACGATGAGACTGGAGCCCTTTTGGCTATTTCTAGTTCTGGAGTGTTACTTTTATCCTGGCTTGCTAGTTGTTCGTATTGTGATTCCTGACTCTGAGGTTCTTGACTAGACCCAGCATCGTTATTGTTTGCGTTTTCCTTCGTTGGGCTGTGTTCTTCATCCGACTGTGATATCCGGGGTCTTCCTCTTCGAGCTGGGCCTCTCATAAATGTACCAAACACTTTAGGAATAGCACCTCTTTTAACTCTCATTGAACTTTGTAATGCTATTTCTTCACCGTACCTCGAACGACCAACGGTGGACAGGTTATATCTCGATACGCTTTCTTGGCCCGCAGCTAAATTTAACTTTGTGACTGTTGAAGGATATTCAAGTGGCTCGTCATTTTCAAACCCATTAATCTGTGGTGGTGAAACTGGTATGTCAGAATGTCTGCCGGAAGATCCGATTGAAGATCTACCAATAGACACTCGTACGGTCCTTGGTACTGGTGCCGGCGTGCTAAGATCCAATGCGCTCTCTTCCGCCTTTGGTGCCGCTTGTTGTTCATTGTGCTTCTTAACCGCACTGGACAATGAGGCTCCTCTCCGTAACGTTGAAGAACCAGGTGTAGTACTCAATCGCACAACTCGTCGAGGATAGGTAGGGCTGCTGAGTTCACTGTTCCCCAGTGGCGATTGGTTCTCTCTCGTAGATAGCTCTAATATACTCGCACTTTCCGCTCTTATGTGTGATGTATGAGGGGGCTCGGGGGTCGTGCGAGCAGTAGTTGAACTATCTATGATCGAGGCCTCGTCGTTTAATAAAGCTTTCGTTAAAGCACTCAACTTCATGGGCATTGGGATTTCATCGTCGGAGCTGTCATTGAGTGAATATTGTCGAGGTGCTTCAACATCAGGTCGGTTCGAATGTGGTCGGCTAGGAGGTTGTTTATATGCATTTCGTGAAGCAGGTCTTCGGACTACTGCGAATTGACTCGAGCCCATAGGCGTCGGCGAAGCTGTAGCCATTGAGGCAAGATGGTAGATGATACGCTGTGAATCGACTGTTGATATTAATTCGGGATGTTTGTCGAGTTATGTATTTTAGTGTGGCTCCTATTAATTACATCCTCTTTCAAGCAAAATTTGGAGAACAAATGATGTTGTCGATGTCGCGAAGACGGACAGACGCGAGGAACAAATTCATTTTTGGGAGGGGGAGAAAATTTGATTGGTTCTCGTTGATTGCATTGTTTACACATCAACCGTCACTAGGTAAACTTGCAAAACTAACTTTTATTTTATATACATCCTGTCACGGACTCGAAGTATGCATACCTCAAGTTAGAAAATGAGAATGAAAATTCAATACAATACCAAAATACTACAATACATAATACAATTTCTCGCGAGTCGTGGGTAAACATTGTGCTGGTAGACTCCACAAGTACTCAACATACCTGGGCATACTCAACACATCCTTATACCGGTACCATATGACCGTATACCATGTTTATACCAAATCCAATTCATATCCTATGTTTCGGCAATAGCTTAACACAGGGTTTTCCAATCAATCATCCATATGCAATTGCATTACAGGACACCTTCCAAAGCTCCTCGCCCTACATCTCGATAAGTACCGATGTGCAAGGATTACCCGGAGATCAAGTTGTTAGTCCTCCTGGACACTACTTACCAAGACTAGATATCTTGTGTAAGTGATGTTCTGTTCCTTTGGTTGGATAATGATTGTTGTTATAGCTGTGATGGTGTTGGCGGGGTTGAATATGAACTCCATATTGCATCTACTAATCCATCTTATATCAGACAATGAAATAAAAGTTCCTTACAGCTGGATGGTCATACTAGGAGGGACTAATGACTTGAACCAAAATCAAGATGTTGACACAGTCTTTGAATATTTGATGAAAGCCTGGGATTACGCTCTTTCTCGAGGAACTCAGGTTTTAGCCTTGACAGTCCCGGAATGTGGTGCATGTAGTCCAGAGCTTGACCAACGAAGAGATTATCTAAATGATATGATTCGTGCTCATCAAGCTGAGAATTTGTAAGTAAATTCCTCTAGGGGTGTCGAGAGAAGTGCTGAGTTGCCATCTAGCCATGTATTAGACCTTCATGATTCTATACCATATTGGAGTATGTCAGAAGAGGAACGCAAGCGAATATGGATCGATGGTGTACACTTTACGGAGGAGGGCTATGATCGGATGGGAGCTTTGATTGGGGGTGAACTTCACAGATTGATGTTTGGTAGGGAGTCAAAGAATGAGCAAGGGCAAGGGCAAAAATATATGATGTTTCAGAAGAGGTAGGAAGCTGAGGAGTGGCAATATATCCTTACAAGACTTTGATGCTTAGGGGGATTGGTGACATGAGCTGAGACTAGGTAATTACAACCTACACGATCGATAGAGAAAGGAAGGCCAACATTTTTGCTCATGATGATCATATTAATCCATTTTTCATTATTATCTTAAATGCCATGGTGAACCTCGTCACATTGAACTCCTCTGTTGATATGCAGTGACCGGACCTAACGCCAATCTTGTATCGTGTAATTTATTTCGTATCATTCCTACTTTCACACCACCAGATTAGCAGCGACGAAGTCCTAAGATATATTAGCAGTGCTAGTAAAGATTATTGAACGTCTGCTTACCGGATAAATAAGTTGCAGCTCAGAAGTGACTTTCTCAACTTCTTCGGCCAAGCCCTGAACATTAGCATCCCATCTTCTCAATTCTCTCCCAACAATGCCCTCAGCTCTACCGCTACCTTTCTCCCCGGTAGCTTCTCCGCCCTCAAACCAGATAACCCTCTCTACTTGATCAATTCTACCAAGCAATCGGCCTTGTTCGATCATGCTCGCGGTAGTCTCCTCGGCCTTGTCCCCATCAAGATCTAATATGTCTCCAAGAGCTTCGAAGCGAATGTTGTTGTACAATCTCGATGCAGCTCTCAAATTGTGCTCTACAACCGCCCTTTGCAATACCGTAGTGCCGTCTTGGGTCTTTGCCAGTTGATGTGGAGCCAATCCTTCTGCAAATTTGGATACTTCTTCGGGGGACAATAGACGATCTAAGAACATCTTTTCCAAGATACCAAACTCGTCTAAGCCGGCTGCTCGCTCGTCCTTGTATAATCTTCCCAAAGCACGACTTCGAAGAGGGCCTGCAGGTGCCAGAACGGCACACTTAATGGCCATACTGAGAGTATGCAAACGCTCCTCCTCAGCGATAACAGGTAAGAAACTGATATCCTGGTAGCCCTGCGCAGCAGCTAAGAAATTCCTCCTGGCATCATGGATACGTGCTTGGCTGAGTTGAAAGTGTAAATTCAAATCGCGATCGGAGACTGTATATATGACGTTCTTGGCTTTATTCAAGTATTGCTCTGCGAGCGATGTATCATCCACCTCGAGATAGTTGCGAGTAATACGAATCCAACAACGGACCTTCTCTTCATTTGTGACTTTCCGTTGCGACGACTCAAGAACGATACCAGCTAATATCTGCGCAGCTGCAAGATTATCTTCGTCGCTTTCGTATGCTGTAGCCATCAGGTCACGGATTTGAGCATTTTGTTCCTCGAATGAGGATGCTTGTTCACCAAGTGTCGATAAAGCATGCTGACCAACCTTGATCTTCGCCTCGTTGTTCTTTATGGCTTTAAGTGCATCGACAAACGATATGATAACAGATCGAGTTACAACTATTCCTAGAACGTCTGCGAAAATGGCGTCGAAAATGGCGATTAAGTCATCGGGTAACTCTGCTGGTGTAGATGTAAATTGGGCGTTTGACAGAAGGGTAGTGTAGCCTTGTTGTTTTTCTTCTGAGCCTGCAATATGCTGAAGAGCTTCTGTTGTCTTTGGAGACACCATGATGATTCTGCCTTATTATCGCAAAACCGTAGAGTTTTGAAGGGGAAAAAGATCTCAAATTTATTTTCTCTCGAGGCTGAGGCTATTATGATGGAGGGGGAAGCTTTGGGGGGAGGCTGCTGCCAAGCTTGGACATTTTGTGGGCCAATCATATCCACCATCGCCTTTTTTTGTGCTTCTATCAAATGCCAATATATATAGGAATAAATCAATGAATCTCATATTAAATATTACGAGTCATTATAGTATCTTAGGTTCTACAGCTTGAGTCAATGCTAGAAGAGTATTGTTCCGGGCTTTTGATAGAAATCCTTTATATGAAAATTAGTAATAGTTTAGTAAAGTATAGCGAATTGTTATATAAAGTATTTAAATTCTTTAGAATAATATCTTAATTAGAAAGTAATTGAAAATCTTTATCAAAAAGTATACTAATTGATTTATTACTTATTTATTCTTTATAATTCGTTCAATTCTTATCTTAAAAAGCAATTCGTTATTAATAATCTATAACTAAATATTATCGATATTATAATAGTTAATATATAAACATTATTGGTTTTGCTAGAAATATTCAAAATATAACAAAAGAAAATCAAGAAGAATCTATTTACTTAATAAACGTCAATTAAGATATATCAATTCGATTAACTGATAGTGATTAATCGATATTAGATAGCAATTCTATTTTCAATATAGAATCTATTTTTATTAGTTAATTTCAAAAGGTTTAAACAAAACTTAGAAGAATAATAGTTTATTATAATCAAACAATCCAGAAAACTATTATTTATATCTAAGTCTAAGCTAATATTATTTTTGTAATTTAACTAAATATTCTTATTACTTTGATAATATCTAGAAAAATCCTGAAAATTCAGAGATTCCCAAGATATAAAAACAAAAATATCAATAATACAAAAGATTTCTTTTTCAAGTTGGTATTATATTCTGGAATAATAATAGATATTATTTCCTTTTAGATATTATAAAAATTAATTATATTATTCAAT